TTGTTTTAGTCCTGTTTTTTTTTTTTTTTTGCAGGAATATATTTCTCAAAGACACCACGCTTTATATTAAACTGTAGGTTTGTATCAAGCTTTCTATTCACAAACAAAAATATGTCATTCCAAAAGATTTGAGCGTACGAGCATTCCCAAAACACATGGGTGACGGATGGTTTCTTCAGCGCTGTGAAAGAATGAGCAAAGATGAGTTATGTTTAAGTGACATTTTGAAATGACAGCATTAACAGGGGAACATCTCTGCAGGATTTTCAGGCAGACCTCACGAGTTTTATTAGTTACAAAATATTTTCTAGAGAAAAGCCAAACATTGTTCCAGTTAATGTCCGTAAATATTGTATTGTTTCAAACAATCTCTCTCTTACATTTGTTATTTGTTTTAATGTTTTAAAACGGTTTCCAATAAACAGCTCTGTTTTAGCTGGATCATCATAAGAAACATGGACAAGTCGACATCAGCATTTTCACACCAGAAGGAACGGCGTCAAAAACATCTGCAGATTCTTTTCCTCAAAACACACTGGAGCACTTCCTGTGTATTACCACATGACATCACAAGGTGGAACAGAGCATTTTGTGTTTGAGAGAAGAACTCAGTCTGAGGGCCTGTCCACACAACAAAGTTTTTTGGTCAAAACAGTGAAGTTCGTATTTGTTTTGGTCTTTCGTACACACGGAGCTGGCGTTTTGGGTGAAAATGGTCTTTTTGAGAACAGGTTCCAGAGTGGAGAAATCTGAGAGCGCTGGCGTTTCGTTGTTGTGTGAACAAACAAACCGCAGCTTTTGGAAAACAATGAGGTCGCAACCCCGTCATCGCCAGGGTCCTCCGATGCAGCGAAGGCTCATGCAAAGCCTGCAGCCCTCGAACTGGCCTCCGCGGACCGCCAGGCCATTGACAAAATGGGACAGAAGTAGCCTACGGAGCCGCTCCTGTCGCCCATCAACCGAGACCATGGATCTATTAAAATAACTGGAGGGTGTTGCTGCTTGTAGCTGCCTCATTGGAACTTCAGCAGAAAAAAAAACATGGGCCGAGAGAAAATTTTTCTCATAGAGTGCAATCACAAACTGCTTAGTTTCAGCTGACAGGGACCTACAACTTTCAAGAATGTCGGATTTGTTGGCGATTTTTACCTACTTTTAGATCATAAACTTTTTCTCAGTTCAAAATCCTTCAGTTGTCTTAAAAAAATGCTTTATAATCATTCGGCTCCGGCTCCGGCTCCGGCTCCGGCTCCGCTCTCTCTAATTGACCTCACTCCATGTGTGCGCTCGTGTGCATTGGCATGTGCCCGTGGGAAAAAAGAGCACTACTGCACATGCTCGGTCAGTCCACAGCCACCGGAAGTACCGAGCCGGGCTAAAGGCAAATCTGGGATCATGCGCCATTGAGCTCAGCCCATTGACTTGAATGGGCGGCCATTTTGAAACCCTGGGGCTTGACCGAGACACGCTGTTAGTGCTAATGCTAACAACAAGCACCGCAGATTACGCACATGGATCAATAACAAAGATTAGGCACGAGTAATTAAACTGTTGGATTTTGAGACCAAGTTATTCTAATAATTCTCATCCAAATCTTATGACTAAAAATGAAAACTTATGTTTAACTTTTACAAAACAAAAGTGATATTTCTGGGATACATCTAAAATCGTCTAAATTACCTTAAAGTAAAAAAAAAACAACTCATGAGATCTACATTATTAAATATTATTCTCGCGTGGCGTGTGTATTACATCATTTTCACTCAGTGCTCTGCTGTCGTCTGGACGTCAATATTTGTTGATCCGACACGTGTGTGATGCAAATTTCTTTCAGACTGCAAAAAAAAAAAAGTCCTGGAGTGTTGTCGTGTAGACGTAGTCTAAATGTGCAGGGTTTGTGTGTTAAACATGTGTGAATGAAACAAACACAACTTCAGGTCTGTTTGTGATGAGGAAACGACATTATAACAGATCAAAAAACTGTGTAATAAGCGTTTTTGTGCTTTAATGTGGGTGAATTCTTTCTTGATTTTAGATGGAATTTGATGACACAGATAAAGGAATTCCCGTTTACAAGATTTTCCGAATTTCTTTCTTCACAAACTGATGAATAACAGATGTTTGGTGCAGTTTTTTTCTGATTACACAAAGTAATAATTAGAAGAACATGAAATCCTGTCACACGCACTTTGAGCCCCATGTGTGGATCGTAGCTCGGGTCTGGACTGAGTTTGTGTATCTTAACGGTCTGCAGACGTCACTGAGGGCTCCTTTGTCTCAACTTGGCTCCTCCGTCGCTGTTCCTTTGAGCAAACACACTGACACTAAATCAAGGTTGATGGTTCAAATCCCAGAGGACAGATCGCAAGCCACAACAATAGTTTTACTGAAGATCTCATTGTGCGCTGAAGTGTGAGCTGAGGAGCAGCGGAGAAGTTCAGAGGAGTTAAGAGGAGCAGAGGAGAAGTTCAGAGGAGTTCAGAGGAGCAGTTCAGAGGAGTTCAGAGGAGAAGTTCAGAGGAGTTCAGAGGAGAAGAGAGTATAGGATGGGAGGAGCAGAGGAGGAAAGGGTCAGCTGGAGCAGAGGAGAGGAGCAGAGGAGATGGCCAGAGGAACAGTTGAGAAGGTCAAGAAGAGCAGAGGAGAGAATAAGAGGATGCAGAGGAGAAGTTTAGAGGAGCAGAGGAGAGGGTCAGAGGAGCAGAGGAGAAATTTAGAGGAGAGGAGAAGGTCAGAGGAGCAGAGGAGAGGGTCAGAGGAGCAGAGGAGCAGAGGAGAGAGGTCAGAGGAGCAGAGGAGAGGGTCAGAGGAGCAGAGGAGATCAGAGGAGCAGTGGAGAAGTTCAGACGAGCAGAGGAACAGTGGAGAAGTTCAGAGGAGGACAGGAGAGAGTTAGAGGAGCAGAGGAGATGGTCAGAGGAGCAGAAGAGAAGTTCAAAGGAGCAGAGGAGAAGGTCAGAGGAGTAGAGGAGAAGAGAGGAGAGAGAGGAGAGAGGTGAGAGCAGAGGAGCAGAGAGAGAGGAGAGGGTGAGAGGAGCAGATGAGGGGTCAAGAGGAGCTGAGGAGAAGGTCAGAGGAGCAGGTAGACTCTTGTCAGAATCATTAAAATGTCCAAAATAATTCCTTGAAGGTACTTTTGTAAATATGTTGAACTCTGAACCACATTTCCATATGAGACACGCTCATTTCACACAGCTTCAGTTTTAATGAGCTGCCTTTAAAATATATATTAAATGAAAAATACCGTTTTTGGAGAGATTAGCATCAGAGGAATTTGGGCATTTTCAGTCACGCATAAATTGTTTTAGAAGAAGATTTGACACACTTCATGACATCACAAGTTTTAGAGACATTTTAAAGAGTTACTCAAACATGTTCCAGGTCTGTTTTTGAGGAGGGAACAACATTATAACGCGACTAACTTTTCTGGTGGAGGATCTGCTTTGTGCTCGTCTCCATGGAGATGTTGTTGCTTTGCCTGGAATGTCCCGAAGTATAGCATTAAACTTATCTTAACTTAACTCTGTCTTAACTTATTAAACTTATCTCGCATCGTTTCATTCAGGTGTTTACTGCTAATAAATACCTCGGAAAAACATGAATTCTTGCTGTGTGGGCTTGCCTCTCCACAGATCTGACCCGGAGCTTGGCCTGCTGGTTTTTCCTTTTTGTCTCCATGGAAACGGATAGGTTTAGTGCCAAACTTGTAAGCCAGATGCCCTCCCTCCCTTACCCCTGCTTAAATAGATATTGTTTGTGTTACGTTCCACAGGCAAATGCAAGAACATTTCTGCGGAGAAATAAATGTTACGTAACAGGTCTTTAAATGAAGGGGTTGCCATGAGGACTCGTGTATGGTCCCCGGAGTCCATTTTGAATAAACGCAGGAGTCTGAGAATTCACCGACAGGGTTTTAAAAAGCCCCAGTGAAATGCAGCCATTAATCATGCGCCTGTGAGAGCTGTCAAAGAAAAATACAGAGACCAAAACCAGGACTAAACCAGGACTAAACAAGGACTAAACCAGGACTAAACTAGGGCTAAACCAAGACCAAACCAGGGCTAAACCGGGACTAAACCAAGACCAAACCAGGGCTAAACCGGGACTCAACCAGGGCTGAACCAGGACTAGACCAGAACTAAACCAGGGCTAAACCAGGGCTAAAACAGGACTGAACCAGAACTGAACCGGGACTAAAACAGGACTAAACCAGAATTAAAACAGGGGTGAACCAGGACTAAACCAGGACAGAACAAGGACTAAACAAAGAGTAAATCAGGACTGAACCAGGACTAAACCAAGTCTGAAACAGGAGTAAACCAGGTCTAAAACAGGTCTAAACCAGAACTAAACAAGGTCTAAACCAGGACTGAACCAGGACTAAACCAAGTCTGAAACAGGAGTAAACCAGGTCTAAAACAGGTCTAAACCAGAACTAAACAAGGTCTAAACCAGGACTGAAACAGGACTAAACGGGGACTAAACCAGGACTGAACCATGGCTAAACCGGGACTAAACCAGGACTGAACCAGGGCTAAACCGGGACTGAACTAGGAGTATACAAGGACTGAACTAGAACTAAACCAGAATTAAATCAGAACTAACCCAGGACTAAACAACAATTGTGATTCTGGTCTATAACATTGGACATGATGGACAAGTTGCTGTTACAAGTCAATTTAGCATATTAAGCGTTCGGCTCCAGTCAAACGAAGCTTACAGAGGCAAGCGGTTATTTGGAGCAGGTTTCTGGAGCCATATTAGGAAGAGGAATTTATTTACGAACAAAACAGTGAAATAAAAACCCCAGAATCATGTAGAGAGGGATAATACGAACATTTTAAGCCCAAAATGTCAATTCTCACTGCAGCAGGTATAGAGTGAGGGGTGATGGTTTTCCAATGAAAAGTGAATTGGAGCCAGAGTCGATGGAGCCAGAAGAACCATGTATATTTACGGTCTATGTGTATAATGCGGTGTTATGTATTTAAGAGTGTCCTCCGATGGGTCTGGAGAATCTGAAGATCGATGACTTCCAGCTCCACGCCTCCAGCACCAAACGCTACGGGCTCGGAGCTCACCGCGGACGCCTCAACATCCAGGTCAGTGCCCCCAACCCCCCCCCTCGTGTTCCTCTGTGTGTCAGATGCCCTCCCACCCTCTTGTATCCCTGTGTGTGCCAGATGCCCTCCCATTCCCCTGTAATGTCATTATCATACAGGTGAGTGTGCAGGTGTGTGGTGCAGCTGATGCCTCTCACTGGGCATTCTGTGTGTTCATAAATCAAAACGATCTTGGCACAATATGTAAATAAGTGCGGTCCAGACACGTCAAGAGGATTAAGACTTTAACCTCCTATGCCCAGGGCTTTATTCTCGAAATGAATCATGTATGATATTTTAACAAACAAGGTGTCATATAAAAGATTACTGTGGTTGTGAAATTCTGCAAATAAATCATACTGAGTGAGAGAAACTGAAGTTGAAACTTTGTTTTTTTGGATGGACATAACAAAAAATCTAATATTCACTGTAAGATCATTGTGGAAAACCTTTTTAAACACAACATTTCACATGTGATCAATATGTGTACAGAAATCAACTGGAAGGTCTCCAAGCTGGAAAGTATTATAGGGCTGTAACAATAACCAAAATATCGTGATATTGTATCGTCAAAGTTCTCACAGTATATTGAATTACAAGTCTCTTTGCTTAAATTAAGAGTTATGGTGCAGCAATAAAAATATCATAACGAGAGATTTGGATATTGTTACATCCCTAATCGTGAGCCTCCCCACCATATCACAGTAAATATCATGACAATATCGTGTCGTGTGACTTAGATATCGTTACACCCCTGTTGTCTTAATTACCCAACAAAACAAGCAAAAATTATGTGGTCACTTCGTGAAGATAAAAAATTACAGAAACACGACATTTGGTCTCGCTACTTTCACATTTCATTTTATTATGATATAGAAGCTGATTTTCTAACACGATATATCACAGTGCATGACACGGTTTACTAAAGGCTGCTGAGAATGTCCCCCCACAGCAGATACCCGTGTCCTGTCCAAAAGAAGGGGGCACCAGGAGGAAGGAAGTGAACGTTTCCGCAGAGAGAATGGGACGCTCGAGCCAGTATTCATGTGTACATTCATATTATAGTGGAGCACCAGTCACAACAAAATTGTCATTGTGTCCTTAGGCAAGGCACTTCACTCACCTCTGAAAGTGATGTGTGTGAGAGATGGTGGAGGTCGGAGGGGCCAATGGCACAGATTGGCAGCCTCGCTTCCGTCAGTCTGTGCAGGGCAGCTGTGGCTACTGTAGTATCTTATCACCACCGGGTTTGGAGTGAATGAATAATGAACTGTAAAGCGTCTTTGAGTGTCCAAAAAAGCTGATGCATTATTATTTAATTTCATTTATTTGTTTGTTTGAGCCAGGTACAACAAAATTTAAAAAACATTAACAAAAATAGTGATATATCCATGAACATATTTGGGACTTGGTGCTCAAAAGGAGTAGGATGAAGTTTAAAAAACTTATAGAGTCCTACCCGAACTGTTTTACATAATCACGTGGTTCACTTTTTTGTTTTAAATATTGCCTTTGGAGTGGCTACCTGTCATTATGCAGAAATATACACACATATATACAAAAACATATCCACATATACATACATAATGTACACACATATGTACATACATACATATATACATCATAGATATCCAGTACACATACTCAATATAAATGTTTATACAAATATGCATAACGCACATATACAAATGTGCAGAAACATATTTTCGTTTATGGTCGTAATAATAATGTTATCATAGGCACAAAGTTTATCGTTTATGATTGTACAAAATAAACAGTAATGAGAGTGAAAAATTTAGGGACTTTTTGTTTTCATTTATGGTCGTACAAACTAATAATAGTAATGAAGAAGGCACAAAGTTTATCGTTTATGATCATACAACATAAACATTTATGAGAATGAAAAATGTAGGGATTTTTTGTTTCCTTTTATGGTCGTTCAAATTAATAATAGTAATGAAGAAGGCACAAAAGTTTATCGTTTATGATTGTACAAAATAAACGGTAATGACAATGAAAAATTTTACAATTTTTGTTTTCGTTTATGATTGATTTCGTTTCGTAGATGGTGGAGGTTGGAGGGGCCGATGGCACAGATTGGCAGCCTCGCTTCCGTCAGTCTGTCCAAGGGCAGCTGTCGCTACAGTAGTATCAAACCACCACCGGGTATGTAGTGAATGAATAATGAACTGTAAAGCGTCTTTGAATGTCCAAAAAAGTGCTATATAAAACGGATGCATTGTTATTATTATGTGTACATTTTTTATGTATAAAAGCAAACAAGAGCAAAGTTATGCACCTTTGATTTCAGATTTTTATAGAAAACAGAAAAAAGTAATGATTTGAATAGTTTTGGCTTTATTTGACCACCAGGATACCATTTTCACACAGAATACTCCAGGCCAATAATAATAATAAATATATACAGGTAAAAAAATACAAGGGAAAAAAAAGATCTTTTATGCAACAGCTTAGACAAATAAAAAGTGAATTTAAAAAATGGATCAAACTATTTACACTATATACATTCAAGACTACATTTGGTGATTTTCATCGTGCCAGATTGTAAAACAGTTCTTCTGAGAGGTCAAACACAAAGGCACCTGGCATTTCCTACAGTGCACTGCCGTCTTTACCCTCTTCTCTCCTGCATCAAAGCACCTCCTGCAGTACTTTCTGGTCGACCCTGGATAATAAGTGGGCATGCAGGTGACCGAAGGAGTGACTGGCACGGCTGGAACGGAGCTCTTCGCATACTCCACGAGCTGCTCACATAAAGCTTCTCTGAACTTCTTCTGTGTTAATATCTTTGTACCAGTAGCCAGTGTCTTCTCAGTTTCACGGTACAGGATGTGGCTGTTGACAATTACGATGTCCAGAAAGTGGTAGAAAAGCGTTTTATACCACTTCATTGTCTTATGGTGGACAGTGTAAAAGCCGATAAGAGCATCTGATAATACTCCTCCCATGTTCTTGTTATAGTCCAGCACAGCATCTGGCACGGGGACGTTTTCTATGCTCCAGACACCCTGCGTTTTTATATTCCGGGGCACCGTTTGGCCACTGCTTGCCTTGTGCACCGAAGAGCACATGGCGACCTCCCGCTTGTCCATCCACTTGACAAACAAAAGGCTGTCCTTGCGTAACCAGCGAACATCACCCCTCCTCGCCTTTTTTGGGAGGTCGTTCACTGTCGTTGTGGGAAAACCAGGCAGATGTTTTCTGATCGTTCCACACGCTCCCATGTTCTTTTCTTTCAGCTCCAAAAACAAAGCAGGGCTGGTGTAAAAGTTGTCCACGTACAGAGTGTAGCCACTGCCAAGTTGATCGAACGGGAGAAGGTCCATAACGGAGGAGTAGCCCAGGCCGTGTTTGGATCGACTGTCACTTTTACCGGAATAGATAGAAAAGTTCCATGTGTACCCAGTGGTGGAGTCAGCTAAAACAAACAGTTTATAACCCCATTTTGTAGGCTTGTCTTTATTGTATTGTTTCATTCCAATCTTGGCTTTTGAAGCAACCATCCGTTCGTCAATAGAGATATTCTTGTCCGGTTGAAAATTGTCCATGCAAGCAGTCTGGATATCGGTGTACAGTGGCTTTAGCTTGAAAAGCCTATCGTACTCTGGGGTACCTCTCTTGCGGTCATTTTCTTCATCTTTGGAGGGGTCACTGAGATGAAGAGACCACAAAATAGCCTCAAATCTGGCCCGGGGCATCGTGTTGCCAGGAAAAGGGTTACCATAGGGGAAGCTTTTCCTCCAGTAATCAGGCTGTTCAGGAACTCCGCAGAGGCCAGTGTAGACAAGAATTGCCAGGAAAATGTAAAAGTCCTTGATGTCAAGTGGTTCCCAGGCATACTTCACACCAGCAAGCTTCCTCCTCTGTGCGTTGAGGTTTGTATTGTCTATGATCGTCTTCACAACAGAGGATGAAAAAAAAAGCTGAAACAGCTGCAAAGCGGTCCAAGAGGAAGTGGTGTCCAAGATCGGCCCAGGGGGGTTAGTTGGACGGAAGCAGAGGCTTTCTGGAGCGGTGTCCTCCTCGTTCCCGTTTCTCCAGCGATCATCAGAGTCGGAAGCACCACTACAAAACAAAGGACATACAGTCACTAATCTGAATCTACATTCCTGTTGTAAATTGGTAATGGTCACCAATTTAAGTGATGGCCTCACCTTGTCTGGGTCGTTTGCGGGGTTGACGGCTCGGCACCTTGCAGGGATTCACCGAAGGGACTTGGCTGGGGGGAGGGAGTTTTTCGTTCCCTTCTGAAAAGCATAACAATAGTCCTTAATTCAGAAAAGATAAAATAAAATAAATATTTGAATAGAACAATATCAAAAGCAGTTTATTTTTAATTATTTAAAACAAGGACAGTGCCCAGAAAACATTAGACTCTGAGAAAAGATGCCCTGTGCCAGATTAAGATACAAATTGCTTTCCAGTACTTTCCAGTTAGTCACTAATCTGAATCTACATTCCTGTTGTAAATTGGTAATGGTCACCAATTTAAGTGATGGCCTCACCTTGTCTTGGTTGTTTGCGGGGTTGACGGCTTGGTACCTTGCAGGGATTCACCGAAGGGACCTGGCTTGGGGGAGGGGCTTTTCTGTTCAATTCTGAAAAACATAACAATAGTCCTTAATTCAGAAAAGCTAAAATAAAATAAATATTTGAATACCACAATATCAAAAGCAGTTTATTTTTAATTATTTAAAACAAGAACAGTGCACAGAAAACATTAAACTCTGAGAAAAGATGCTCTGTGCCAGATTTTGCTACAAGATACTTTCCAGTACTTTCCAGTTAGTCACTAATCTGAATCTACATTCCTGATGTAAATTGGTAATGGTCACCAATTTAAGTGATGGCCTCACCTTGTCTTGGTCGTTTGCGGGATTGACGGCTTGGCACCTTGCAGGGATTCACCAGAGGGACCTGGTTTGGGGGAGGGGCTTTTCTGTTCAAATCTGAAAAACATAACAGTAGTCCTTCATTCAGAAAAGCTGCTTTCCAGTACTTTCCAATCAGTCACTAATTTGAATCTACATTCCTGTTGTACAGTAATGGCCACCACTTTGCAAATAAATTCATGTATTCATGTATTCTCACCTCCACCATGCAGCACTTCGTCTTATTGAGGCCTTTTTCTGAGAGGGGGGCTCATAGTCTTCATCAGATCCGTCACTGCTGTAGAACAAAAAACACAGTTCAAAAAAGCAAAAAACACAATCTATGCAATGTAAAATATATTGTAAAACAATGTTATACCAACTGTACTGTATAATTTACACTTATGTTCAAGTTTATTTTAAATCCAAGGTGGGGGGAGGTAAAGGGTCCTGTTTACCTAGGGCCCAGTGCAGGGAAGAGGGCCTTCACAACATTTTTTTCAGTAGTTAATATGTACCCACACTTCTAATTACGTATTTACCATCATTCATTGTTTTAGATGTGAGCTACAATGAGGGTGATCAGATTTTCAAAATAAAAGTGAGACACCCTCAGTTTGGGGTAGTTGGTAATAATAAAATGATCGAGTGCATGGATTGAGGAAAATTTATAAGCACTGGGACCATTCAGGACTAACATGTGAGTCAGTATAGTCACTTTTTCTCTGTGTGTATGCCATTTTTAAGCAGCTTTTCCGTATTTTACCAAACAAATGACAATTCATGCCCCTCTTTACAATTGGCAGGGATCAAATTGGTTAAAACTAGGGACACCGGGGACATTTCGTACATAAATCTGGGACAAATCAACGGTTTTGGATAAATCCTCTGGGACAGAGGACACAGGGCTAAAGTTGCACTGGTCCATGCGTTCTATGATTTAGCATCTATGTCACATATACAGACTAATGTAGCTGAAATACAAACTGATAAATGGGAACAGAATAAATAAAATAAATACCTTGTTTCAAATGGGAGCTCGTAATCAGAGTCTGAGGCGTCTTCATCATGAGTCGGAGCCATCAAGTCCGAGTCGTCCGAAGAGGAGTCCATTGGTATTTCATCAGTACTCGGGTCATTCTCAATTTGGTCTAAAACAGACTTCTCTGATGGCATCTTGCAAAAAGTACAAAAGTACAAAAAAAGCTGAAAGTAACCGCGCGCCGCAGGATATGAATGGACGCAGCTAGCCACGCCCCGTTCCAAACAGGAAGTTCGAACGCGAGCACTTCCGGCTCCTTCTGACCCCGCCTCTCATTGACTTACATTGGGATGTTGTTTTCCCTCTCTGTGTAACTGCTGCTGTGAGCCGCGTCATTTTAGTCTTAAAATGTTCACATTAACCCGCTTTACATGATCCCGAATCTCGCTAATTTGTCTCTAAATCAAGATATGAACATAAATAACGGACCAATCAGATGCCTTGATTCGCCGAGGTCGCTCCCGCTAACCTTAGCAACGGGTTTGATTGACAGCCAGTGCATTTCGTTGCTAAGTGAGACATTTTATTCGTTTATTTAACTCACGGAGCTTTTATAGTTATATGATTTAACTGTGTTGGCTGATTGTTCGTTAAGGAGTGAATCTAACAACTTTAACTTTCATCTCAGATAGACGAAAAAGTTACTTTTTTTTTTTTTTGTAAGTGGACCTTTTTAAATTATTATTATTATTATTATTATTATTACACACAACTGGGTGCATAAACTTGATACAACAAACATGGGTGTGTGTCGTCAACAGCTACAATTTGGGATGCGGGAACAACATTAACAGTAACAATACGATACAATACAATACAAATAAAGTGCATTTAGGAAGAGAAAAGTTCATAAAGTGCAGGGGTATTTCACACTTTTTGAGGTTTAGGTCCATTCATATATTTCACAGCTTTTATATATAATTTGAGCTCGTTTTTACCATAAGCAAAGTTAGGGGGACATTTCTGAATTTTACATTTGTGCATGTAAAATTTGGCAAGACATATTATTAAGTTTACACAGAGTTATTATTTTTTATTTTGTAGTAGTACACCAAAAATGATAACATCTCTGTTTAACAAGACTGGTAAACAAACAAACAACAAAATATGGAATTCATTCTGGGGATGGGTCAAAGATAAACTCGTGGGGTTACAATAACAGAGAGATTAGACCCAAGTATAGAGCGAGCAGACGTCCCTATTTACCCAGGACAGTTTTGAGCTCTGTTTCCCATGTGATTCGTTCCAGTTTTATACAAGAAAGTTCCCAGTGGTGCCCATTTCTGACCAATTTGATCCGGGTCAAAACAGGACTAACACAGGACTGAAACAGGACCAAATCAGGACTAAAACAGGACTAAAACAGGACTGAAACAGGACTAAAACAGGACTGAACCAGGACTAAAACAGGGCCAAATCAGGACTACAACAAGTCTGAACTAGGAATAAAACAGAACAAAAACAGGACTGAAACAGGACAAAATCAGGACTAAAACAGGACTGAACCAGGACTAAAACAAGCCTGAATGAGGACTAAAACGGGACAAAATCAGGACCAAATCAGGACTAAAACAGGACTAAAAACAAGAATGAAGCAGGACTAAAACAGGCCTAAAACAAGAGACTAAAACAGGACAAAAACAAAACTAAAACACGACTGAATGAGGATTAAAACAGGACTGAACCTGGACTAAAACAGGACCAAATCAGGACAAAAACAGGACTAAACTAATAGTCAGTCAGACTTTGAATTTTTACAGGTAATACTCTGTACTTTGCCTTATACACGACTTTGTAAGATTTGTACTTTCTCAATTGAATCTAATCAGTTCAAAAATGTAGTGGAGTAGAAAGTACAGATACCCACTCTCAAATGTAGTGAAGTAAAAGTAAACAGTAATTGTGATGGAAATGTAAATGTATATTGTGGAAAGATTTCTCTCAGTCTGTTTTTGTGTAAATGAATGTGATTTCTACTTGAAACCAGAACAGTCGTTAACATGTTTAAAAGCCCAACAGACACAACCGTCCCGCCCTCGAGAAGCTCTTTGTTGTCCTACCTGTCGTCAAATTTAAGTGGGCGCAAAGTAATACAAAAATTTGCACAAATCACTCTGTTTTGAGATGTATGCATGTGTGTTTCTGTGTAAATACCGGGGTGGGGTGACTGGAGAGGCTGTTGATCTCTGTAACAAAAATAAACCTTTGTCTGTATTCCAAAAACTGATCAGCCTTCTCAAATGGATTAATTATTTATCATAAAAAGGTAGTCCCCCCCCCCCCCCACAACAGTAAAGTACAGATATTAAAAATGTTTACTTTACTGCTGTTACTTTTTTATGTTCCACCACTGACAGATCAAAATACTGAAAGTTTTCTGCAGCTCATATGAAATCTAAACACTGACACGTTTTTATTTGGACCTAATAATCCGTGTGTCATTCGATCATTTGTTTTTCAATATAAAACTAAAAATAAGAAAATGGAAAAACAACACTTTTCTTCATTATTTGTCTCCAAAACCAAAATGAATAAACAGATAATGATTTGTTTTTTTCAGTTTTTGATTCTGTGTTTAAATGAAAAATGGAAAAAACAGATAACGGCCGTTTCCTGTTTATGTTACTTAAACTGAGATGCTGGACTGAACCAGGACTAAAAAGAGGTCTGGGACCAAACAGGAACCAGACCTGGACTGAGATCAGGACTTAGACCGGGACCAGACCAGGATTGAGGCCAGGGCCAGGACCAGGACTGAGACCAGGATCAGACCGGGACTGAGACCGGGACCAGACTGGGACCAGACTGGGACCAGATCGGGACTGAGACCGGGACTGAGATCGTGACTCGATCATGACCAGATCATGACTGAGACTGGGACGGAGACCAGGACCAGACCAGGACCAGACAATGACTGAGACCAGGACCAGACCCGGACCGAGACCTGGACTGACTGAGACCAGGACTGAGACCAGGACTGAAAATTATTTAGTCCTGTTTTAGTCCTGGTTCAGTCCTGGTTTAGTCCTGGTTCAGTCCTGGTTTAGTCCTGGTTCAGTCCTGGTTTAGTCCTGGTTCAGTCCTGGTTTAGTCCTAGTTCAGTCCGGCATCACAGTTTAAGTCACGGAAAAGGGAAACGGTTGTTATCTGTTTTTTCCATTTTTCATTTAAACACAAAATCGAAAACTGAAAAAAACAAATCTTTATCTGTTTTTTCATTTTGGTTTTGGAGACAAATAATGAAGAAAATTGTTGTTTTTTCATTTTCTTATTTTTGGTTTTATATTGAAAAACAAATGATGAATGACACACAGATTGTACCTTTTTGTCTTTTCTATTTATTTTGATGTCCATTAGTTACGCTTAAGATATCCTTTCTCTCTCCCTCTTCCCCTCTCTCCCTCTCTAAGCCTTCCTCCCCCTTCTCCACTTTTCTCTCTCTCTCTTCAGTCTTAGACAGGAGATCTCAACCTTTCAATCTATTTTTAATGGAAAACGTCAGAGTGAGCTTCAGTCCGACTCAGACCCGCAGAATGAGAGCTGACAGGGGCTGTGCGGTCTGACAGGGGCTGTGCGGTCTGACAGGGGCTGTGCGGTCTGACAGGGGCTGTGCGGTCTGACAGGGGCTGTGCTGTCTGACAGGGGCTGTGTGTGCGGTCTGACAGGGGTTGTGTGTGCGGTCTGACAGGGGCCGCTCGTCTCCATGGAGATGATGCTTTGTTCCACAGAGAGGCATTAAAGAGAAAGTGTTTTATTTTAATTCACACGTTGAACTAATCCTGTGTGGTCCTGCATTTGAGGCTTTAAAGCTCAGAAAATGTCAGATTTCACCTACCACCTATGTCCAAACTCAAACAAGACCGAACCAGGACTGAACCAGGACTAAACCAGGACTAAATCAGGACTAAACTAGGCCTAAACCAGGACTAAACCAGGACTGAACCAGGACTAAACCAGGACTAAACCAGGATTAAAACAGGATTAAAACAGGACAAAAACAGGACTAAAACAGGACTAAACCAGGACTGAATCAGAACTAGCCATGACTAAACTGGGACTAAAACAGGACTAAGTGAGAACTGAACCAGGACTAAATCAGCAGTGATTTTAGTGATATTATGATAATACAACCTTTATTTTTCCCACAGTGGGGAAATTCTGGATTTGCAACATACAGTATTTAAAACAACATTGAGCAAGTGTAAAAAAATGCGCTCTGAAGGGGGAGTGACTTAACACGGGGAGAAAAAGGAGGGAGGAGAGACTCAGAGCATCAAAAATGAATCTGAAAATTATTAATCCATTGTTTTGGGTGAATACAGCATTTTCAAAACAATAAAAGTTAAACACGGTGATATAAATATGTGATCTCTGTTATAAGGCGGTCTGACCTCTGACCTCTGACCTCTCTGTTCCAGGTCCAACGAAACATTTGTTCAAAACGACAGAACCAGTGAACATTTTCGCCATAACCTCCTTTTTTAGTGAGGTTCCAGCGGTTGTAGGAAAGAGTCTGAGCTCATTTAATTGAAAGCGAGTTGTGAGTGTTGAGTGTGCTGGGTTAGGTCCAGGACTTCTGGGCAAAGAAGAAAGTTTATGAAGTTGAGGTGAGTTAATGTTAGCAGCGAAATAGCCTAGCCAGAAATTATACGTTAGCCAGTCATTTCTAAATTAATACACTGTTAGGGTTCGGATTTAGACATTTCTCTCTGTTGTGGACATAAATAGCAATGGGAGAACGTGTAATGTGGCAAATTTGGAAGAATACATAAAGGAGATTAGCCGGTTTCACGTCGTAGAAATCGTGTGACCTCGCAGCATTAGGATTCGTCGCTCGACTGTAGGCAGGCACTTTTTTTATTTAACCAATCGCTGCTGTTTGGTTGTAATGTATAGGGTGACCAAATGTCCGTTTTTCCCCGGACATGTCCGTATTTTGCGTCATGTCCGGGGCGTCCAGGGTTTTTTTTTATAAAGTGATGCAAATGTCCGGGTTTTCAGTACCGTTCATTGGGTGCATTAAACTGAGCGGCTCTCATAGCGTCTGTGACTCAGAAGGAGCGAGCTGACACAAACAGTCGGTCAGTCTGCAACATACCGAAGCACTGCAACATACCGAAGCAGACTGACCGACTGTTTGTGTCAGCTCGCTCCTTCTGAGTAACAGAGAGCTACAAGAGACGCTCAATTTAATGGCTCCAGTGAAAGGAAATGAAAACCCGAACATTTCCATCACTTAAAAAAACAAACAAAAAAAAACGGACGGCCAAGACAGGACAGAAAAAATGGACATGTCCAGGCAAAAACAGATGTTTGGTCACCCTACTCTAGAGTATTCTGATTCCTGACCTAGTCGCTGGAGAGAAATTAAATTGAGAGGCGACACTAGGTGGCGCCAGCCTAACAGCTCCTCACCATTTGTACTGGTTTCTGATTGTCATTTTTACATGTAAATCAGACAGACCAACTTCCGTGCAGCTGCGGCTTGGACCCTGAACTAGAATTATGACATAGGCACTTACTATAGGGCGATCTGACCTCTCTGTGGTCAGACGGTCTTGTGTGAGGACGACCTGTGACCTGTGACCTGTGTCCTGTGTGTTTCAGGGCGGTCTGTACGAGGACGACCTGTACGACGGCGCCTGGTGCGCAGGCAGAGACGACGCGCTGCAGTGGTTGGAGGTTGACGCCCGCAGACTCACCCGCTTCACTGGAGTCATCACCCAAGGGCGCAGCTCCCTGTGGGCGTGAGTCCAGTCTGCACAACATGCTGTCTCTCTCTCTCTTTCCTCTTTCTCTCTTTTTCTCTTCTCTTTCACACACTTGCAGGCCCCTCTTCTTCTTTGTCCTCCCTCCTCTCCTCTCCTCTCTCTTCCTTCTCCTTTCTGATATTAGGAAACCTCTGTCTCTCCTCTTCCTTCTCTTCTCTCACTTTTCCTTCTTCTTTTTGACAACAGCAGGCATCTCTCTCTCATACTTTTTTGTTTCCCCTCTCTTCCTCTTCTCTCTCTCCCTCTCTCTCCTTCCTTTTGACACTTGCAGACCTGCTCCCTTTTTACATTGGCAGACCGCTCTCCCTCCTCTTCCTCCTCACCTCTTCCCTCTCTCTTCCTCTTCTTTCTATTTGACACTTGCAGACTTCTTTCGCTCTTGCTTCCCCTCTCCTCCTCCTCTTTCTCCCTCTCTCTCTCCTCTTTTTCCTCTCCTCCTTCTCCCTTCCTCTTCCTAGCAGACCTCTCTCCCTCCTCTTCATTCTTCCTTCTCTTCTCTCTCTCTTCCTTCTATCTCTCTCGTCTTCTCTCCTCCTCTTTGCCCATCCTCTCTTTCCCCTCCTCTCTCTCTCTCTGTTCCTCTTCTATCTCGCCTTCTCTCCTTCTGTCTCTTTCCTCTCCCCATTTCTCTCTTCCCCTCCTCCTCTCCTCCTCTCTCCTTTCTCTCGCCTTCTCTTCTCCTCCCTCTTTCTGGCCTCCTCTCTCTTTTCTCTCCTCCCTCTCTCGCCTTCTCTTCTCCTCTCTCTTTCCCCTCCTCTCTCTCCGCTCCTCCTTTCTCTCACCGTCTCTCCTCCTCTCTCTCATTCACATACTCCTCTCTCTCTTCCTCTCGCTCCTCCTCTCTCTCTCCACTTCTCCTCTCTCATCTTCTCTCCTCCTCTCTTTCTCCGGGCCTCCTCTCTCTTTCCTCTCCTCCTCTCTCTCGTCTTCTCTGTCTCTCTTGCCTTCTCTTCTCCTCTCCCTCCGCTCCTCCTTTCTCTCTGTCTTTCACTCTCTTTCTTTTTGACACTTGCAGACCTTTATCTCTCTTGTTTCCCCTCTCCGCCTCCTCTCTCTTTCACTCTCTTCTCATCCTCTTCTTCCTCTTCCTTCTTTTTGACACTCACAGACCTCTCTCCCTCCTCTCCTCCTCCCCCTCCTCTTCTTCCTCCTCTTCCTTCTTTTTGACACTTGCGGACCTCTCTCCTCGCTCTCTTCCTCCTCTCTCTCTCTCTTCTCCTCCTCCTCCTCTTCTTCCTCCTCTTCCTTCTTTTTGACACTAACAGGCCTCTGTAGTTCTTAATTGGTCGTTTTCTCACAGTCTCTTGAGTTCAGACCCTTACAGCACAAACCGCAGACAGATTCTCTCAGAAAAGATCCTCTGGAAACTCGCCTCAACCCCAGACCCGACTTAAATAAGAGCGATTCTCAAACTGTGGGACGCACTCCTTCAGGTGGGACTGAAAGGGTTTTTAACTCCACACACCTTCACGACAAAACATTTAGATAATTTCAGCCCTGGAATTTCCAATCTCTACTGAACTAAATGTAAAAGGAGCTGTTCATTGAAAACTAACACTTCATGACACCACAAGGTGGAACAGAGCATTTTGAGCTCTGGAGATGTAGACAGACTAATAGTAAAGGTTGAAACAAAACACAAGTCCAGGTCTGTTTTTGAGGAGGGAACAACATTATAACAGGACTTATAGCTCAGCAGAAATGATGTAGTCCACTTTTAGACCTGAATCCGTTTGTTCACTCTTTTTTCAAAATAAAACCAAAAATAAGAAAACAAAAAAAGAACAATTTTCTTCATTATTTGTCTCCAAAACCAAAATGAAAAAAACAGGTAACGATTTGTTTTTTCATTTGTCGCTTTGTGTTTACATGAAAAATGGAAAAAAAAATGGATAAAATGGACTAAACCAGCACTAAAACAGGTTCGGAGCGAGACCAGGACTGAGTCTGGGACCAGACCAGGACCAGGACTGAGACCGGGACTGAGGCCAGGACCAAACCAAAACTGAGACCAGGACTGAGACTGGGAACAGGACCAGGACTAAGACCGGGACTGAGACCAGGACCAGATCAAGACTGAGACCGGGAACAGACCAGGACTGAAAACGGTTTAAACATGGTTTAGTCCTGGTTCAGTCCTGGTTCAGTCCTGGTTTAGTCCTGGTTCAGTCCTGGTTTAGTCCTGGCTCAGTCCTGGTTTAGTCCTGGCTCAGTTCATTATCTGCTTTTTTCATTTTTCATTTAAACACAAAATTGGAAACAGAAAAAACGAATCATTATCTGTTTTTTTTTATTTTGGTTTTGAAGACAAATAATGAAGAAAATAGTTGTTTGTTGTTGTTTTTGTTTTCTTATTTTTGTTTTTATTTTGAAAAATGAATGAATGAATGATACACGGATTGACCTGGTTTAGCTCCAAATTAGACTCATTTTTCAAAATAAAGCCAAAAGTAAGAAAACGAAAAAAAAATGTTCTTCATTATTTGTCTCCAAAACCAAAATGAAAAGAAAAGATGATGATTTGTTTTTTCAGTTTCCGATTACTGTATGTGTTTAAACGAGTAATGGAAAAATGAAAAAACAAATCATTATCCATTTTCCATTGTGGTTTTGGAGACAAATAATGAAGAAAATTGTTTTCTTATTTTTGGTTTTGAATTGAAAAACAAATGAACGGATAATACACGGATTTGTTATGGATGAGGTTTTGATCTGGTGGGACTAGGAAAGCCAAATCTTTTTCTTTCTTTTTTTAAAATGGTATTTGTTGTGCAACTTTCTGCTCTAATATTTGAACAAAGATACTGTGTTGTAATTTAATTTTAATTGAATTTTAATTGTAATTTTATTGTAATTTTATTTTGTTTTTAATTTTAATTTAATTGTAATTGTAATCTAATTGAATTTTATTTTATTGTTTTTATTATTTTTATTTTATTGTTTTTATTTATTTTATTTTATAGTTTGTATTGTTTTTATTTATTGTATGTTATTTATTTATTTATATATATATATTTTTATCACGCATTTTATCAAAACATTAAAAAATGACAATGAACCACTTATACATTAATGCTAAAGTGAAACGGAACTATTAAGAAGACTAGAGGTTGAATTATTGTGTCAGATGCCCTCCCAGCTGACTCTTATACAACATTTTGAGAGTTGGTTTTTCTCATTTTAAACATATAATATTTTGTCTTAAATCATTAATCGTTGTGGCAACAGTCTTAATTTCTCAAAGTTCGGAAACCCATGGATATTCCAGTGTCAGATGCCCTCCCATTCCCCTGTATCCCTGTGTGTCAGATGCCCTCCCATTCCCCTGTATCCCTGTGTGTCAGATGCCCTCCCACCCTCGTATATCCCAGTGTGTCAGGTGCCCAAAGTCAAACCAAATCCAGGTCAGTATTGATGTATAAATAGGTTTAATCTCCAGTGTTTGATGTGGTGCTCGTGCAGTTTGTCCATCTGTCCCTGTGACCAGAGAGCGCGTGGTTCAGACTCACCAGGAGAGGGCGCTGTGATGTGGTTCCGACTCACCAGGAGAGGGCACTGTGGTTCAAACTCACCAGGAGAGGGCGCTGTGATGTGGTTCAGGCTACATCCACACGACAACATTCCTGGATTTTTTATTTTTTTATTTTTTGCTGGTTGAAAAAAATTTGCATCCATACACATGTCGGATCAATAAATATTCACGTTCAGACAACAACGGAGCAAACAAAGTGAAAACGTTGTGATACATCTGCCACACCAGTATGTGGCGCTGTTAACAATGATAATAATATTTAATAATGCAAATCTCATCACTGTTTTTTTTTTTACTTTAAGGTAATTTAGCCGATTTTAGATGTATCCCAGAAATATCGCCGTTTTGTTTTGTAAACGTTAAACACAAGTTTTCATTTTTAGCCGTAAGATTTGGATGAGAATTATTAGAATAACTTGGTCTCAAAATCCAACAGTTTAATTACCCGTGTGTAATCTTTGTTATTGATCCGTGTGCATAATCTGCGTGGTGTGTGTTTTTAGCATTAGCACTAACAGATTGTCTCGGTTTCTGGGCGACAGGAGCAACTCTGTAGGCTGCACCTGTCACACTGCATCGGAGGACCCTGGCGATGACGGGGTCGTGACGTCAACATTTTCCAAAAGCGATGGTTTGCTCGTCCACATGACAACATGACGCCGGCGTTCTCAGATTTCTCCACTCTTCTCAAAAAACATTGTTTTCGCCGAGCCAAAACACCAGCTCCGTGTGGACAAAAGACCAAAACAAATAAAAACTTCACTTCACTTTGACCAAAACACGTTGTTGTGTGGACAGGCCCTCAGACTCACCAGGAGGGGGAGCTGTGGATCTGGTGCAAACTGCTGTTGTCAGAAAACACTGTATTCCACCTTGTGAGGTCATGTGGTCATACAGGAAGTGCACACCTTCACTGGAATCATTTTAATTATTTCAACTCTGGAATTTCCCATCTCTACTGAACTAAAGGTAAAAAAGAGCTGTAAACCTGAAAACTACCGCCTGATGACATCACAAGGTGGAACAGAGCATTTTGAGCTTTGGAGATGTAGACAGACTAATAATAAAGAGTTACTCAAACATGTGAATGAAACAAAACACAACTCCAGCTCTGTTTTTCAAGAGGAAACAAAATTATAACACGACTTATACTTCACAAGAGTCAGTTTTGTGTAATACAGGACCTTCAAACATCATATTCCACTATAATTTTCTGACCTGCCCTCCAGCTCAGTTTAAACTAGAGTCTCTAACCTAAAGTTTCAGGCTGAAATACCAAAGTTTAAATGAGTTTTCTTCAGCTTTAACCCTGTGATCCTTTTGTTTTCCCGTGGGCTTCTCCTTGTATCTTTTTTTAAATATTATTATATTAAACAGCACTTTCTCGTGTTCGTCTCTTCACAGGAGCGACTGGGTGACCTCGTATAAAGTCATGGTCAGTAACGACAGCCACTCGTGGACGATGCTGAAGAACGGCTCCAAGGATCTGGTGAGTTTAACAAAAAGGAAAATACAGTGAAGTCGCAAGCGGCATCGAACGGCCAACCCGGCATTGACTCAGGATGGATCTGACGCTCCTCATGTCTCTGTGTTATTATAACTTTAATTCCGTAGACGTGCAAACAAACCAGGACTAAACATGACTGAACCTGGACCAAATCAGGACTGGACCATGACTAAACCAGGTTGAAACATGACTGAACGAGGACTAAATCAAGAATAAAGGAGGACTAAACCAGACGTAAATGAGGACTAGACCAGGACTAAACCAGGTCTAAGCATGACTGAACTAGGACTAAACCAAGACTGGACCATGACTAAACCAGGTCTAAATCAGGACTAAACATGACTCAACCAGGACTAAACCAGGTCTAAACCAGGTCTAAACCAGGACTAAACATGACTCAACCAGGACTAAACCAGGACTAAAGGAGGATTAAAGCAGGACTAAATTAGACCTAAATGAGGTCTAGACTAGGACTAAACCAGGACTAAATCAGTACTAAAGGAGGATTACAGCAGGACTAAATCAGACCTAAATGAGGACTAGATCAGGACTAAACCAGGTCTAAACATGACTGAAGCAGTACTAAAGCAGGACTGGATCGAGACAAAACCAGGTCTAGACCGGTTCTAAACCAGGTCTAAACTAGGTCTAAACCAGGTCTAAACCAGGACTAAACCAGGACTAAACCAGACCGAAATGAGGACTGTACCAGGAACTACTTAGAAACGACTTTAGAGCTCCCAGTTGCTTCCGTGCTGCAGGTTGGAGACTCCTGTACATGACATCACAAGTTGGAACAGTGTGTTTTCCGTTTGAGAGAAGAACTCAGTGTAACTGTTCAGGGTTTGTGCGTTAAACATGTGAATGAAACGAAACACAACTCCAGGTCTGTTTATATTTGTGATGAGGAAACAGATCTCATGTCGGTGTAATATCGTCTCTTTACACCCGCAGGAGCAGATGCAGAACTCATCTCAGACTCTTGAATCCAGAGTCAATGAAATCCTCAAATAAACATGAAAATACCAGAGGAGAACCACAGCAGCTGTTTGTCCCATCGGCCCATAAACAGCAGAATTATGAGCACGAATAAAAGCTAAAAAATATTGTTAAAAAAATATCTCTCAGAATCAAAAACGTACAAAAATATTTAAAGAAATGTAATGGAAAAATAATACTGCACTGGTCTAATAATAATAATGTATAAGAGCCAAAAACAATAAAAGAACCAGGACTAGACCAGGACTAGACCGGGACTAAACTGGGACTAAACCAGGACTAGACCAGGACTGAATCAGTACTAAATGAGAACTTAAGTAGGAGGAATGTAAACAGACCACACACCATTAAAGCAGGACTAAATCAGACCTAAATGGGGACTAGATCAGGACTAAACCAGGTCTAAACATGACTGAAGAAGGACTAAAGCAAGACTGGACCAAGACTAAACCAGGAATAAAACAGGACTAAATCAGAAATAAAACAGGGCAAGGCCAGGACTAAACCAAGACCAAAAGAGGACTAAATCAGGAATAAACCAGGACTAGATCAAAACTACACCAGAACTAAACCTAGGTCTAGGTCTAAACCAGGTCTAAATCAGGACTAAACTAGGACTAAACGAGGTCTAAAAGAGCACTGAATCAGGAATACACCAGGAATAAACCAAGACTAAACCAGAACTAAACTAGGACTAAACCATGACTAGGTCAGGACTAAACCAGGACTAAACCAGGTCTAAAAGAGCACTGAACCAGGACTAAACCAGGACTAAACCAGAACTAAACTAGGACTGAACCATGACTAGGTCAGGACTAAACCAAGACTAAACCAGGTCTAAAAGAGCACTGAACCAGGACTAAGCCAAGGCTAAACAAGAACTAAACCAGGACTAAATCACGGCTAAACCAGAACTAAACCAGAACTAAATCATGGCTAAACAAGGTCTAAACCAGGACTAAACTAGGACTAAACCAGGACTAACGTACAAGTAATAAAGAGTAAATAATAACAATAAAAGTGTTGTGTTTGTCTCAGTAGATTTTTAAGGGAAACTGGGAGAAGGAAATCCCGATCCAGAACCTGTTCCCGAGTCCCGTCGTGGCTCGGTACCTCCGGATCAACCCCCAGACCTGGTACCACAAGGGCGGGGTCTGTCTGCGGGCTGAGGTCCTGGGGTGCCCTCTGCCAGGCAAGTGTGTCAGATGCCCTCCCATAAACCGAAAGTGGTCTAAAGTAACTGTACTGATGACTAAACTAGGGACTAAACCAGGTCTAACTTTGGTCTAACCAGGACTGAGCCGTGTGTCAGATGCCCTCCCGTCCTCACTTGTATATTTATTTATATTTTTGTTTCTTTTGTGACCACAGATCCCAATAATTATTACCACCGAAGGAACGAAGTCATCACCACAGACGAGCTGGACTTTAAACACCACAACTACAAAGAGATGAGGCAGGTAGGAACTAAACCAGGACTAAACCGAGACTAAACTGGGTCTAAACATGACTGAACCAGTACTAAACCAGAACTGAATCAGGAGTAGATCAGGACTAAACCAGGACTAAAGCAGTATTACACCAGGACTGCACAAGGACTAAAAATCAGGAATAAACTAGGTCTGAATCATGACTAAACCATGTCTAAACATGTCTGAACCAGGACTAAAGCAGCACTACGCCATGACTGCACCTGGAACTAAAAAACAGCAATAAACCAGGCCTGAACAAGGACTAAACCAGGATTGAACCAGGACTAAACCAGGTCTAAAAACAGCACAAAAAAAAAAAAAAAAAAACAGGTCTGAAGCAGGACTAAACCAGGATTAATCTAAGACTAAACCAGGTCTAAACATCTCTGAACCAGGACTAAACCAAGTCTAAACATGACTGAACCAGGACTGAACCAGGACTAAAAACAGGACTAAACCAGAGGAGCAGAGGGTCAGAGGGTTGGAGGGTCAGAGGAGTAGAGGAGAGGGTCAGAGGGTTGGAGGGTCGGGGGGTCAGAGGATTGACTTTGCTGTTTGCAGTTGATGAAGGTGGTGAATGAGATGTGTCCAAACATCACTCGGATCTACAACATCGGGAAGAGCTTCAGCGGACTCAAACTGTACGCCATCGAGATCTCAGACAATCCTGGAGAACACGAAGTCGGTGAGAGCAGAGGACTAAACCAGGACTAGACCAAGACCAAATCAGGACCAAACTAATAAGTGACTAAAACAGGACTAAACCAGGACTAAACCAAGAATAAACCAGGAATAGAGTGGGATTAAAGCAGAACTACACTAGGTCTGAACAAGGCCTGGACCAGGACTAGACCAGGACTAGACCAGGACTAGACCAGGACTAGACCAGGACTAAACCAGGACCAATCCAGAACTAAACCAGGTGTAGACATGTACCGGACTAAACAATGATTAAATCAGGACTAAACCAGGACTACACCAGAACTAAACCTAGTCTAAAACAGGAATAGGGTGGGACTAAAGCAGGACTAGACCAGATCTAAACCAGATGTAGACATGTACTGGACTAAATGATGATTAAACCAGGACTAAATCAGGACTACACCAGAACTAAACCAAGAATAAACCAGGAATATAGTAGGACAAAAGCAGAACTACACCAGGTACGAACAAGGTCTAAACCAGGACCAAACTAATAAGTGTAATACCAGAATAAATAATGACTAAATCCAGAGAAGACAAGAACTAAATCAGGACTAAATCAGGACTAAACCAGGACTAAACCAGAATTAAACCAGGTATAGACATGTAACAAACTAAACAATGATTAAATCAGGACTGAACCAGGACTAAACAAACTAAACTAAACAAAGAATAGACCAGGAATAGAGTGGCACTAAAGTAGGACTACACCAGGTCTGAACAAGGACTGGACCAGGACTAAACAGGGACTTTACTGGGATTAAAAGAGACTTAATCATAAAATTCAACCAAAATCACAATTTGAAAATTCACAATAAGTAAATAACTAAATCTGCGTTTATTTAGGCTGCGTAAAATCCTCTTTGAGCACTGAACCTCCCTGTGTCTCCATGCTCCGTGTCCACTAGGGGAGCCAGAGTTTCGATACACGGCCGGTTCCCACGGTAACGAGGTGCTGGGCCGCGAGCTCCTCCTGCTGCTGATGCACTTCCTGTGTGTGGAGTACCTGAACGGAAACCCAAGAGTGCGCCACCTGGTGGACGAGACCAGGATCCATCTGCTGCCGTCTGTCAACCCCGACGGATACGAGAAGGCCTATCAGCTGGTAGGTACGGCCCTCTCTCCTGAGTGAAATGTGCAACTCTTTAATTATTTCTACTTCAATCTGGAAGTGTTCGAAACCAGTGATCAATTAGCCAGGCTGGCGCCACCTAGTGCCTCCGCTCAATTTCATTTCCCTCCAGTGACTAGGTCCGGAATCAGAATACACTACACTACATTACATTACATACGTCACGACCAAAAAGCAGCCATTGGATAAATGATAAAAAAGTACCCACCTACTGTCGAGTGAACGAATCCTAATGGTGCGAGGTCAAGCTGTTTCCACAAAGTGAAACCGGCTGATGAATCAGGCTAGTGACCAATAGGGGTGTGCAAAAATATTGAAATATCAATACATCATTTAATGTGATGATCAGAGGCGGCGCTGCTATTAGGCAAAAGTAGGCAGCTGCCTTGGGCCCCCAAACCTGTAGGGGCCCCCAACCAACTGCCCTCAGTGCCACTAATGGCCGAGGCCTCAGAGAAATTAGATTTTCTCTCAATATGACATTAAATGACAGTAGTTTACTTTTAAACAATAATCATAGGAAAAATAATAATAATCATATGCAGTGGATGTAAACAAAAATGTCATTGCACAAGCAAAAGAATAAAACTACTTTCAGTTTCAGTTCAGTTTTGTTTACAGCACTTTGGTCGACTGTGTTGCTCTAGCAGTGTGTGTCGTAGTGTAGTGCTCTAGAAATCAAACTGAGTTGAGTCGAGAAATAATTAATTTGCGAAGCCTGATGAGTTTTTGGAATACACTCCTTTTTACACATGCTGACGTAAGGTGACCAAATTTACCAATAAGAAAACGAAAAAACAACTATTTTGTTCATTATTTGTCTCCAAAACCAAAATGAAAAAACGGATAACGATTTGTTTTTTTCCAGTTTTCGATTTTGTGTTTAAATGAAAAATGGAAAGAACGGATAACGGCCGTTTTGAGTTTAAGTGACTGAACCAGGACTAAACCAGGACTAAACCAGGACTGAACCTGGACTAAACCAGGACTGAACCTGGACTAAACCAGGACTGAACCAGGACCAAAACAGGACTGAACCAGGACTGAACCAGGACTGAACCAGGACTGAATCAGGACTGAACCAGGTCCGGGACCAGACTGGAACCAGACAGGGACTGAGACCAAGACTTAGACCGGGACTAGGACCGGGACTGAGACCGGGACCAGACCAGCACAGAAAACGGTTCAGTCCTGGTTTAGTCTGGCATCACAGTTTGAGTCACGTAAACGGGAAATGGCTGTTATTCGTTTTTTCCATTTTTCATTTAAACACAAAAAAACTGAAAAAAATAATCAATAGCTGTTTTTTCGTTTTCTTATTTTTTGTTTTATTTTGAAAAACGAATGAATGACTGATGTCCCCTGTCTCTGCAGATTTATCCAAAATCATTGATTTGTCCTAGTTTTATACAAGAAATGTCACTATTTTTGACCAATCTGATCCCTGCCAACAGTAAAGAGAGGCATAAATTATAATTTTTTTTAGGTAAAATATAGAAAAGCTGCTTAAAATTTACCAAAAACACAAAGAAAATGTGACTATACTTACTCACATTAGTGCCGAGCGCATAACAATTTTCTTTAATTACGCACTCGTTTCACAATTTTATTATTACCAACTAAAACAAACTGGGAATGTTCCCAGGTTTTATTTAGAAAATGTGGTCACTCTCAGGCAGAAATCACATTCATTTACACAAAGCCAGATTGAGAGAAATCTTTTATTCACATTACAAATTTCCATCAGAAACGTATCTATCTTCATGGAGACCAAAGCAGACCAAGTTACAGGTCAGATCTGTGGAGAGGCGACCCTGCTCACGGTCAGAATGCCTGTTTTTATTTGTGAGCTATAAAATCACCCATACTTGCATAAATGTAAGGCAGAGCTAAGTGAAACAGGAGAAAAAATAATCGCAATTTTTTCCCCCATATTGATCTTGGTGTTGGGGAAATTGGTGTTCGAAGCGAAAAGAGTGTTTAATTTATTTAGGCTATTAAAACATGTAATGAAAATGATTCATTAATTTGGTCATTTTTATAACTATGCCAACACATAAAACACATTCACAACACAATATATAAAAAATAAACCACTTAAACATCATGTGACCAAAACTTGAACTGATCTGATTATTGTAAATTAGTTCTCGTCCCAACCCTGCTGAGCTGGTTTGATCTCAAGATTAACATGTGGCATTAAAACAGTCCAAGGTGTGGCACATTTGAAGAGAGAGATCTGACAGACAGCTGCTGATTGTGTCTGTGTGTAAATACAACTGACAAAACTAGAGATTAACAAGCAAGATGAAACTAAGGGGTTACATGAAAGGATGAAGATAAAATAAAGCATTTTTCATTGTATGATATTTCAGATAAATGTCTCAGAGACCTGGTTTAGTCCTGGTTTGATCCTGGTTTAGTCTTGGTTTAGTCCTGGATCAGATCTGGCACAGATCCTGATGTTGTTTGTTTGACACTCAGCAGCAGCGGTGGGTCCCACATAAAAAGATGGGAACAGTTTCTCTTTGGGAATGTCTTTATGAGTGTAAATAAGAGACATGTCACTGAAGTCATAGAAGGAAACTGTCCCACTGTCACAGTCCAACTGGACTCGGACTTTCTGGGGTTGTTGTTTTAATTTCACTGTCCCATTACCAGTGTAGTATTTGTCTGTGAAATGTTCTAAAGACCAATATCCAGTGTCTGGCAAAAGAACTGTTTCCCTGTTGACTGACTCTTTAACAACACCTAGTGCCCAGAAACTGTAGTCCCCCATCTCCACGTCCCAGTGGTGCCTCCCAGAGCTGAAACCTTCAGAACCCAAAACTATAGAATATCCAGAGAATCTCTCTGGATTCTTGGGGACCTGGAGAGAAGCGTCTGCCCAGGCCAAAGAGGTCAGATTGTCCGACAGACTGAGACATGGATGTGCAGTGTTTGGGTCCAGAACCACAGGACTGTCCTGGACCATCTCTTCCATCTTCTTCCAGACCCTGTAGGCCAGGTTTCCCAGGACTTTGGCCTGGTTTAGGAGCAGTCCGGGCCCCAGAGGAGGGAGGGGGTCTGGGGCCTCTTTGGTGCTCTGCGCTGGGCTGTAGGAGCGGAGGAAATCCTCGGCTTTCTTCTCCAGCTGCTTCTCCAGCTCCTGGATGTTCTGCTCCAGAGAGGCCAGTGTCTCTGTGAGCCTGCCCAGCTGAGAGGCCATGTTCTGGGCTTGTCTGCTCTGCTCCTCCCTTAGCGTGGAGAGCTGGAGCTCCTCCTCCTCCTTGAGGAACCTGTGTAAACGATCAAACTCTGCTCTGATGTTCCTCTCACAGAGCTCAGCCTGTCTGTGCGCGTGCTGCTGTGTCTCTCTGTAGCTCTGCTCCAGAGTCTGGGCCTCTGCTCTGTGCCTCCTCAGATCCTCCACCTGAGACTGGAGCTGCTCCTTCAGGTCCCTCTCTGCCTGCTCCAGAGGCACCACCGTGTGCTCCTTGTGCTCAGAGAACTCACACACAGGACACAGGAGCCGGGTCTCGTCTGTGCAGAACAGAGGGGGCACCTCTGGGTGAGAGCTGCAGACTGCAGCTCTGTCCTGTGACTTCAGTTTGTCACTGAAAGTTATACACAGCTCCTTTAAGGCAAAGTTTATAAGAGTACCATCTTTAGAAGACTTCCTCCTGCAGACGGGGCAGTTCTGGGTGTTGTTCTTGTCCCAGTATTTATGCAGACAGTCGGAGCAGAAGCTGTGGTTACAGCCCAGAGTCACCGGCTCTTTAAAGGTCTCCAGACACACAGCACAGGTCAGATAGTCCTCCACTGCTGCAAACTCCTCAGTCATCTCTGCTCTGGACTTCCTCTGAAAAAACTCTCGGTTTAAGTGATATCAAGGTAGAGTCGGCAGGTTTATTTTCACTTCCTGATTCAGTTGTCAGACGCATTACAGCAGCAGCAGGGAGTGCTCTTAAAGGGACAGAGGCCAATAACAGGATCATTACTCAGACTGTGTGAATGTTCAT